CTTAAATGGAAATAAAAAAAAACGGTAGCTAATTTCAAACAATTATTAAAATATCTGCTCATAGTTGATAAGTAGGTATATTAATTATAAATACTTAATTGAGTCGTACTTATTAAAAAAATACTATTTATGTTTTATATAAATTATGTATTATTATATCTCTTAACTTTAAAATCTATTGTTAAATCAAATGGATGGAATAAATTATTCTTCTATACCTTCCCGGGGTCGAAAGTATAGTGTAGTATGTATATATTAACTTATTATACATACTACCCAGCTATAACTTATTACTTATTGTATATTTTAAAGTTAATAACTATTTAATTGTCCTTACATTTTAGTAACTCTAGGTCTTAAATAATTAGAACAGTCTATTATAATACCTGCATTAAATATATTTGCTAAACTATAGCAACATATCATTTTTATTTTTTATTATCTTTTCCCCAAATCAAATTTAAGTACCCGAATTAAATATAAAATAAGTAATATTTAGGTATAACTTGTTTTCAGTCTTTAGCTATAAAACTTGAATATTTTATACATTTTCAGCTACAAAATAAATAGCAAATATTTATGATTTTAATGAAGTTCTGCAATATTTGAACATTAAATGCTTATACAAATATTGGGCCTGTATATCTTTAATATTTTTAAAACTAAAAATACAACTTATTAGAAACAGTAAAAAACTCTTTATCAATAGGTACTTTATAAAATTAATTTTTTTTAAAAATAGCTCAAAAAGAATTAAATTATTTTTAAAATATTGACAAGCATATAAAATGATAAAATAAACATTTAATGAAAATTTCAAGTATCTGCGGTTATTTATTTTTGAATTACAACAAAATAATGAAATCGTCCGATGAGAAATTGTTAATTTACGGGTGAATATCCAATGTCATAATAATTTGAACTTCAAACGATCATAAAAAATTATTAATTGATGTGACTCTCCGGAATTCATTTTTAAAAACTTATGAGTAATCTCGTATTCAGTTTTTAAATCTTAGATATAAAAGAAAACAATTTCTAAATTCCCAACTCAAAACAATTTACAATTTTTTCGTAATTTTGACGAATTGTTAAAACTCAAATTTCATAGACGCTCATAAAAAATTATTGTAAATTAACTCTTTTTTAATTACACTATAATAACAATTTATGAGAAACCTTGTTATACATTTTTAAGTTTTTTGAAAAGCGAATAATTATTTATGGACAATAATTGAAAAAAAACAAAAAAATCGAACACGTCTCATTAAAATGCCTATATAAATACCTCATAGAGTTAAAATTGTTTGAACATTTTATCATATATGAAAAATTTGGTGAAAAATGAAAATTTAAAGTTTCAAGTTCCAAGTTCCTACGTTCAATTATTTTTGAATAACAATAAAAAAGCTAAAATCATATTATAGGAGAAATTTTTTTTGCGTCCAATTTAGTCAACGCTTAAAATATTTAGGCGCTCATAAAAAATATTTGTGGGATTACGTTCAACTTTTTTCTTAAATTCTGGTGATAATAACTTGTGAGGAACTTTAGAATATTGCATTTTGAAACTTTATGGCAATGCGAACAAATTTTATCAATATTCAATATTATACCAACAGAATTGTCGATAAAAATAACTCAAAATTATATCAAACATTTTTAAAAGTTATCCATGTATAAAAAATAATATGTACACATTTGATGAAAATTTTAAGTATATCTACCGTATATTTTGAATTACAACAAAACAATTTTAAATAGCACTGAAAATAGTTCATTTTGACTTAGCATAAATATCAACTATAGATCCAATCTTCTATCAGAAACCACTCTCAAAGTTGAAATCAAAAAATTTTTTAACCACCTACAAAACTTGCACACACAGACACAAAAAAACATTTATCTTTGTAAAATGAATACAATAATGGCCCATAATCTAAAATTAAAATTAAAACTTTCATTTACATTTTGATGACTATTAACTATTGGCAAACGAATGTTGTGTGTTTCACAATTAAATACATCCTTATTCCTTGGTTAAGTCTGAAGTTTATATTTTACTAAATTAATATTTAATATTAAAATATACTCTAATATTTAATTTAGATAAACTCTGCAGATTATTTTATTATTAATACTAAATTATAATCAATAAAATTGGTTTGTATTAATTGCGGTCATTAATTTTTATGTTTTCACCAAGTATGTAATTATACTTATGATCTCCAATAAACCCATATATTATTATAATGGTGCATTTATTTTATACACAAATTGTATGTATACCTATGAAATGTAAATTTTTTTTGTTAAAATTTATTTTGGCACAAAAGTGTAACCTCTTTAGGATTTTCATAAAGGCATTAGATTTAATACAATTCTAATACTACCTATTTATGGTTACCTGCAGCATGAATTTTATTGCTTAAATATTAACAAAAAATCGAATGTTCTTCGAAACAAACCTGAAAGAATAATTCGTATGGTATCAATAACTCAAAAGCGTAATACCTAGCTAATAACCCCACCTCCCCCCACGTACCGTTCGTGTGTGTTTATTTAGTTGATGATTCATTAAATGGATCATTAAATCGTTTATTACTGTATAATTAGTGTCAATGACAATAATATTATATTGAACCGTTCATGTACCTCCAGTTGATTTAACAGCTAGTTAACACATAACAATTAGATTGGAAGTTGGTTTATTTATAACTATAGATATTTTACCCGTTAACAATTTGTTCCAGAACAAAATTATATGATATAGATAATAGGTACATACGTATAATATACATTAAACGGATTTACAAATGACATTTTTTCCTTTTTTTGGGGGGGGGGGGGAGTTTTAGCTAAGAAAACTAGGTATTAATTAGATATATTTGTTACATTTTTATGATTAAAAAATATAGTCCCACAATCATTTGTTTTGTTTAAACTTTAAAAAGTTGGACACAAAAACCAATCAATGTTTATAATTTGTATTAGGTAATATCTTTATTTACTTATCTAATACAAAATTAATAATAAAAATAAAGTCAGTCATTTTTTTAAAAATTCACTTTGATTTACAAGCTATAAAAATTTGTATGGATATGATATATAATGTCATCACCTATGACGTCGAAACGGAGTATTATATTTCACTTTACAGTTAAGAAAGAGTGTGTCAAATCACACTTCGGGATTTCACCAATCGCAATTTTACCATTCATCTCAAATTTACGATAAAATGTTGAAATATAAAAAAAGTCCTTATGAACTGGTATAACTCTTGATGATTATCCTGACAACTTCCTGTAGAGGAGTATTGACGACATAAATGTCACAGATTTTACGCAGGTCGTATAAACACGCGTGTACACATGCACTAACAACGTCGCAAGAGTTTGTCTCCGTAAAATTAATACATTATACACCATTACATTATATAGTAAGTACTAAGTACCTATCCTTTAACTATCAATCATTGTTGTTTTCTCGATCTAAGATTGCGACATTGTTGCCCTTGGGCCTTGGCTAACCTCATTGTCCCACTAACTCGTTGTACATGACTTTACACGTTTTTTCATTCAAATTCAACCCCGCGATGTTTGCCCATCGTACGTGCATGTGTGTATTATACACACAATAAATTGCGATCGATCAATAAATAAAAATAACAGCTATGTCATTTAAAAAGCGACACAGGGTCATTTTGGAAAATCAAAATTACTCGCTCAGACTACAATCTTTTTATCGCGTTTTTTTATTTTTATTCTGTGCGGCGTCTAGTGTCTATATAATATATGCAACAAATATTATACAAATCTGATTTATTAACGAGCACAACGCGAAGAAGTATATGACACGATAACCACTCATCAACATAATATCATATTATCACCAGACGCCACTAATAAATATTATCGTAATGAATTATTAAATTGGTTCAATATAATTTAAAATTTAAATATGGACAATTGAACACTCTCGTACGCTAAACCATTATATCACATTTATACCTATCTCCCTAGACAGTTGTAAAAAAGAAGTGTTACGTGCGAATTTAGTTATTAACTAACTTTCAAACGTAGGTACCTATATCAAAAATCACACTTCAAAGTTCAAATATTTTTTGAAAGTGTTGATAATCAAGTAATTTCACTTACGACAATTAAACGCGTTTAAGTTTAATATGTTGGTATAAAGTATATAATAATTGAAATATATTTTTGAAAGTATTTAATATTGAGATGGATACTTTTAATTACACTTTAACACGAGTCTTATGCAATTATAGGATAATATATAGAAAAGAAAATATGTATATGTATTTAACTATATTAATATTATTATTATAGTTATGTGAGAAATGTATATTACAAATTGTTATTATTTAACTTATATTAACTGTTTGAAGAACTTAATTTCAAATTGTGAACTCATGGGGCATGGGCCCCCACACGAACATATTCAGTAGGGCCCATTATCTTGAAGAATAAATAAAAATAAACAAAATAAACAAAATATAAAAATCAAATGGTCGAATGAATACTGAAATATTATAATGATTTTATTAATATACAAGTTTATAATGTGAAAGTCGTAATAAAATAATGTGAAGGTAGGTCATGTCGTACGCAAATTATTTGTAGGTAAATAGGTACATTTCAATTTTTAATAAAGCGTACTTGTATATAATATATAGCCATGTGGATAAATATACTTATCATTAATAAATGTAGGTACTAGATTATTATTTTACAACTTAAAATGTTGAATTAATAAATTCTAGTGGAAAGTGGATTAATATTTTCCTGTAAAATACGTGTAAGTACCTACCTACCTACTTGACAGCACGTGTTAGGTATATTCTATATTTATCTGAATTCAAACTATACTTTTTTTAAGCTAAACTAATTTTGTCAGTAAAAATCGTTACAAAAATCAGTTATAAAAGGAAATATTATTATGTACTATTAATATTTATAGCAACTATATTTTTATTGCAGGTCTGGCATGCGGATCACCAAGCCACGGGGAAAACGAACAATCATTTGGTTACGATTCTGGAGAGCTTGGTAATAATAATAATATTCAAAACGTTATTACTAATTATTATGTATATTGTATGGTTCGAATTCCAAGCTTTAAAATTCTAAGGTCAAGGTAAAACTTGTTAATTGATGACCGAGTATTTTATACATTATAAATTATAAACTAATAAAATCCAGATGAATTTTATAATATTATCTATTACAGCATTGTTTAAAAAAAAAAATAGTTCACAAGTGCAGAGTCGAATAGTACCTATATAATATAAAATGTATAAAATCGATCTGATTAATGGCAACATGAAAGTCGTTAGCTTAACAAAATATTAATTAAAACGCAAAATACATCGTAGTTAGTTCGTTATAAAGCAATATAGCATATACATGTTCTTACGTAATTCGTAGAAGAAATATGCTTGGAATAAATACCACACGGATTATGTATCATTTTAATTATATAATACGTACTTCGTATAAATGAGCCCTAGTTGAATTCCATACTATGAACCAAACGTAGCAAGTTTTCTCGATTACAGTTTGTATCAATATTACGTTTATAAGTTAAAACTTTAAAAGTATAAACCTATTAATATAAACACATAAAATTTCATGCCTTCCTAAAGAATTTATTTATTTATTTTCAAGCATTTTATTTAAAAAATTTGAAATGGATACTTCCTTCAATCACACATGAGTTATTATTATTTATTACGCACATTAGAAAATAAAATAATATTAACTTAACGTAATAATCAAGTTACAAATTAAAACAAAAAAATATGTTCCATTATGAAAATCTCTAGGTAGGTAACCTATTTAGATTTTAGGACGCTATAAAAACAACAGTACCTACCCTAGTACTTATCTAATATTATTATTAAATATATTATAACTAGTATAAAAAACATAAGCAATTAATAAGTTATTAATTCTTCATAGTTTCTGGAAATAACATTGAGTCATATTTGACTGTTTTTCAGTTTCTCAAAAACTTTGTAGGTAACCAAAAAAGGAACATAATATAGGTACTTATATTCTAAATATGGTTTATTATAAATGGGTTTGGGTGCACATAACTACTGCCTTTAATAGCTTAAACAAAAATAGGTAAGTGTTACACTAGTATAGATTATAAATTGATGGCATAGAAAATATGAGCAGATATCTGCAAAACCAATAGATTCCTTGCTACTGTAGATAAATAAATGGATGCTGTATAGTGTATACGTTACATCGTAATTTGAACTTAAAATTTATTAGAGAACAGCAGACAGAGGTACAATGACAGAAGCTGATATGTCACATGTCAGTATTATATATTGATATGTTTTAATAAAACGTTATAGTATTATACAAATATACACATTAGTACATTACACAATACGGTAAAAAATATACCATACCTAGTACCTCACTATAATTTCTAAAAATGTATTCATAATAATTTATAACCAGACAAGCATTTTTTTTTTTTTTTTTAGTAAGACAAAAGAGTGGTATCAAAAGACAAAATTTATATCATATCATATTACAATTTCAAATATAAAATTTTAAAGTGCTTATTTTTGTATTATGTTTTCTATAGTATGAAAGGAAGGACATAGAAGTTTTTTAGACTCTATTTTTAAAATGATTGTTATTTAGGAGTGGGGAGATACCATTTTTTGCTTATTTTAGTTCTTGTTGTAAAGTTTCTAAACACTTGTTTCGATTATTATAGAAGATTTATTCCGATTCCTCATTAGTCATTATAACCATTTGCAGGAGAATTCCAATGATTTTGAATATTTTGTATAAAGTGCCTTTTGTTTTATGTCGAACTTCAAAAATAAAGTTCTTCATTTAAAAACTGTAAATAATGGTTTTGAAAACTTCATATTTTAATAAACTTTTATTAACTTTATGCATGTTACATCAGTTACATGATATACCTTCATATGATAAATAGTGTCTGTAAATCAGATGTTGAAACATGTTTATATCCACCATCCACGTAAAAAGTGTTTTCAAGAAATATTACTATACATTTCATGGTATGTAGCTTGTTGTTTTTAAATATTTTATATTGCAATTGATTATAACCTTTAATTGTTTTTAGGATTGATCAAAGATTAAAATAAAATTTATCATGGATTATTTTAGGACCTTAAAACCACTAATTCTAGAGACACCAATATATTCATAACTACACCTAGTAATGTAGTATCAATAACCACAATTTCATCAGTAGGTAATTTGATATGCACGAATACACAAACTAATGGTTGTAACTAAGTTTACAGGCTGACCATGGCAAAATAGAATCATATTTTTAGCCTGTAGGTAGTAGGTACCCTAAATATTAAACTAGTTTCACAAAATAGTTACCTATAAGCTATAACATGTAATACCAATAGAATAAACAAAGTATAAAATAATTGAAATACCATCATGTAATATTATGTTAACTTTAGTTAAATATATTATAATAAAAAAAAAATAATATATAATTGTGTATTTTAAAAATGTTATTGGAATCATTGATGTGTCCATACAATTTGTATTTGAAACCTATACAATCAGTGAACTAGGTCTTTATTATCAAATGCTTAAAATAATAAATATTGATGATAACCATACAAAACATGTTAAATAGAATCTACTTTAATAGAAATGGTTGAATATTTTTGATGAATACCACAATGATCATATACATAAAAAAAAATTAAAAAATTGAGGTATATTGTATATATTTGTTAGTAGAATGGTTGGAATTTTGGAAAATACCTACATACCTAGCTAAATTAAATTAATCTAATTATATCATTTAGACGTTTTCATAAAGTATAGAAAAAGATTTTTCTTCTATGTTTGATGATGAGAATGTGTTTATTAAAAGTTTTAAACAACAATGATAAAAAAAATGTTTAGCAGCCGCATCTAAATTATGCAAATAATAATCCTTTTTATTTTTTTAGATCCTCCGCATTGGGCAACTGAATATAAAACATGTTCAGGAAAATATCAATCGCCAATCGACATAGAAGAGAATCTTGTGACGAAAGTTAATCTACCACTTTTACGTTTTCACAATATTGACACACTTCCCACATCAACAACCATAACAAATAATGGACATACAGGTAATAACATTAATTTATTTATTATTTATTATATCTAGATATTTATTTATTTTAAAAGGCAAATTAGTTATAACTTATAAAGTATCAAATTTTCAACAGTCAAAGAATAAACAATGAAATAGTATTGCATGAGTATATAACATTATAACACTAATAGTTAGCATATCAGAACAATACAGTACCTACATTTAAACAATATTATACTAAGTTACTTTAGTTACTCAAGTTCCACAATATTTCATAGATAGTGAAAACATTCTATCCTTTTCTAAACCGTTGGTTTAAATATTACATATGTATACGTGGTGTTTAAAGCTGTAGTTTTTCCAAATATGTCATATTTATACTTATATCATAATAAAAATAAAGCCATGATACTTGAACGATTTCAATAGCAAAACAATATGTATCTATATTTTTTTTCTTACAAATTTGTTATAAATATTTATCTATCATATAGGTACAAAACTGATTTGCTCTTTATTAAGAAAATAACTGAATTTATGATATTACAATAGCTAGTAGAGGTTATAGTAACAATTATCAATTATTTATTTTAATTGTTAAATTATTTTATTCATTAATATTTTTTTTTTTAATCACTAAATAAATTTTAAAACAGCTAACCAGTTTATGTAAAACATTATATAAGTAGTTGCCTACAAAAGTATAGGTAAACATTGTGTGGAAGTGTAGTGAATTTCAAAGGTGTAGTGGAAGTAGATACAACTGTATATCGGCAGATCATTGTGTGCCATATTATTATTTTGTACACAGTTGTGAGTTGTGACCAATCCTATCAATAAAATCAATAAAAACCGTTTAAATGAAAGATATATATTATGTAATTAATAAGACAAAATTTAGTATGTACAGACATTAAATGTTTGATGGGTCCAAAACCAACTCTGGAAAAATAACAACTACCTACTATAGTAATTTAAAATAAATCAATTTGTTAAATAATTACTCTACATATTATATTGTGATTTGTAAACTGTATAATATATTATACAACGGTCAAAATGATGTCAGTTAATTAATGTATTAATGGCTTAACAGCTAGTTTCTAGAGAATCATACATTTCAGTATTTCACAGTGTACCATGCTTGGGAAAATGCATTTAAAATACATTTGAAACAAATTCTAACTTCAAATTATATTTTCTAAAAGAATAAAAAAAACATACAAATAATAATTACAATTACATAAAACCTTGGCCATATTACAATAGATCATGAAAAACATGAAACGGAAATAAATTAAAGCAGATAATAATAATAATAATAAAAATAGAAACCTATTACCTACATAGCGGTTTCATCTCTACACCTATGTAAAATATCATATTTTACAAACTACCTACCTACTTAATATACTCGATTTTAGTCAAATTAAAAGTTTAGTTTGATTATAATACCATACTGTCAAAAATACATATGATTACAGTATGTAACTAAGAAATTGTCATTAACAGACAATGAATAAAACATTCTCTATTAACTATATCTTACCAACAGAGATTATAGTCATTAATCTTAGTCACTTGTGATGTTCGAATTTCAATAAACACACTCTGGGAATGTCTTTGATAAGAAGACAAATAGTAAAGACCCTGCTTCTCAACTATTCTTGAAACCTACAAAACACTATTCAAATTTCCCAACCAACAATAAGAATGATTCCAGTTTCCAGTTGTGGGGCACACGTATACAGACATTTTAAAATAGAAAACATAATTTACAAATGTAAATGTAGTTATTATATTATGTTACTAGGCAATAACTAATGAGCAATGGCGATAAATTCATTAGTAGTACACTGATTTTCAGTAGAAGAGAAATCAAAAATATAATAATTACCTAGTTAAAATTGATTGACGATAAAAATACATACTTGAAAACCAAAAGCAAGCTGTTGGATAATTTATTTATTACTATTTAAGTATATATTTTTATCAGGTGGTTTTAATCCTCATTTACTATCTTAGAGTAAAGGATATAAGTACCTACATAAGAATTCAACAGTAGTAGGTAATAATTATAAATATAAATGTGTATATTTTATAAAATATAGATATTACTGGTATCTATTAGGTGCATATTTTATTATAATATAGGTAATCAAGGTCTAACGTTACAGTCTATAGGAATATATTGTATGGGCACTATATGTCACAGAATAAATATACTCTTTTTGTAAATTATGCACCTTCAATAAAACTTATAATTGTATTATAATGATTAATATAAGTGTTTCGTTGCTTCTTGCTTACCTAATGATAGGGTAAATATAAACTTGAAGATATTAATCACTGCATTAACTATTTCAAACTTAATGACATACAAAAATACAGAATTATCTTATGTAAGTAAACTTAAAATAATCCTATATTGAATACTCCCATTAATATACTACTATTACCAATTATTTTAATTTGTTCTCTTTACTTTCCCACTTTAAACTTAGCTTTAAACTACTATTTAATTGTAACAATAATTTATTGTATTCTGACCTCATGTGCACTGGACTAGAATTAGTAGGTATGAATGAAAAAGGATTATGACATGCAGTGCACTTCCTATGTGTATTATGTACCTATACATTGATACTCTAGATGATTTATATCATTTTCACGCTTGAATCTAATATTAATATTATCTACCTTCTTAGGTAGCATTCATCTAATTAGTAATTATTCACATTATACATTATACATTATACATAAGACAAACATTAATTAAAATATTACATTTTATCACTTTAATACCTACATAGGTACCTATAAATCAATTTATAATTTGAATATAAGTTATAGAGTTCTTACTTAAATGTAAAAAGACAAATATTATACTATAAAAAATTAATGACTATAGTATAAACTAGGTATAATATAGAGTTTATTATGAATCTCTCGCCGTAAATGTTGTCTTATACATCATCAACATCGTCAACGATTATATCTAAGCTTTTTAAGGTACAAAGTTTAGACCAACAATTACTCACTGCTTAGTAGGTATGTCATTTTGCCAGTCCACACATTCCATTTTCTGTCAATAATCTCAAAATAAATTACACATATACAACTCTTAATGACGCTTAAACTAATATAGTATATTTATATGTAATTAAAATAGATAAATTGATTTACATATGATATATTGGTAATAAATTATAAAATTATCAGTATCAAAAAAACTATGTATTTGCCAATTTATTATTATCTTCTGAATTTTTTTTTATACTATTTATTTTTATTATTTGAAATGACAAACATTTTACATTTGTTGTTTAATGCTGAACGATATTAATTCTTTGAGGTGCATATTTTTGGCTTTTAGCATATCATATTCTTTTTTATAACAATCTAGTTCCTGTTTCTCCTAATGAAAACAAAACATTGTGTTGAAATGTAACCATTTATATAAGTTAGGAATCTATTTAATATAATATATAAATATATAATATATATTATATTCTTTTTAAATTCTTTTTAAATTCTGAAAATAGTAACAAATATATTTTTACCTTAGATAAATTATGTGTGGCATTAAATTCTTTTGTTTGGTTCTTCAATTCAAGCAATCTATTTTCTTTTTGTAACAGCAAATCAAAATTTTTATTATATAATTCTGATAATACTTTTTTCATACTCAACACTGGGCAAAAATATGATGAAATTCAAAATTTAATGAGAAACATTATTATTAATCTCTATTATACTAATATAGTAAGTATTATAAGTAAGAAAGACATTTTAGTTGGTATTTTCACTTATAGGTAAAGTACTAATGCCAAAATAAATAAGTATAATATTTTGAAAAACATTTAGGACATTAAAAATTTGCATAACATAGAAATTATAGTACCTAAATAAATAATCATAATAATCATACCCACCTAATTTTGCATTTCCTTCAGTTGATTTCATTTCAATTTTTTTTTCCAATTCCAAAACAGCAATATCCTATATTAATAAAATTTAAAAAAATAACTAATTTTCTAACTTAGTCATCTAAACATAATATTTTTACTAATTATATATCAAAAAAGACCTTTTTTAATACTTAAAATTACCTTTTTAATATTCAATATTGACTTTTCCAATTCATTGATTGCACCTATACAATTTCAAATAACAATTTTTTTATATGATATATTTTATTATATTTAAGATTACATAAACTAAAAATCCATTATATAATCCCAAACAATATTTAAGTATTAGTTTAAGACTAAAGATGTAACAATGATTTGTACAGATGTTTTTGTATGATTGATAAAATCATGTTACCGCTCATTTTAAATTTATTTTCTATGTAATAACTTTTATTTGCATATGTACTTTTGACTTTATTGTATAAAATAATTGTAATACAATAGTTATGAAAAAAAAACATTTTTTCTGTATTACACCACTGTTATGATTGACCAACCTGTCGATTTGTTATTTAAAAAATAATGATCTAAAGACATTTGAAATAATTAAGTTTTTACTATAGTTACCTAAAGTTCACATCCATATAAAAAACTAATTTTAATTAAATTGACCATAAAATCAATAAATGTTTAACCTAACCTAACCTTGATATTAAAATATACATGTAGGTACACTTAAATTATATTATCATGTTATATTACTTAAGCTGTATTCAACTCACTATTAATGTTTGAAATCAATGTGTGGTAGTTACTTGATTTATGAATCATATCTTTTAACATCTTTACATATTCTTGTAATTTGTTTCCTTGTTCTTCAGAAGTTTTAATTTTTGATTTTAACTCTAATACACACTTCATGTTTTCAATAATATTCTGCATCTTATGAAAAATTACCTGCCAGTTTGGAAAACAGACATAAATATAATTTTTTATGTCATTATTAAAGTTTAGAATTCTATGCATTTAAAAATTACTTGGATAGGTAACTTTTTTTTTTTTTTTATTTATACAATTTACAATCTGTTACATAAAAGAACAATGATTAAAAGTGATGAATGAATAATGGCTTGAGTGAAACAGATTAAAGAGACCTTTCAGTAAAGGCACTTTGACAGTTACTTATGTACATAGGTATAAGGGTTTACAATAGTATTATTTACAATTTAAAGTTTTTTTTTTTTTTTGGATAGGTAACTAATTTAAAATAATTAAAATTAAAACAAACTTTCTACAAGAAAATCAAAATTTAAAAAAACTTTCAGAAAACTCAAAATAAAACATTCAAAATAATAAAAACTAAAATCACAAGCTCCTATGTATAAATATTTTAAACATAAAAAAGCTTAGATTTAAGACTTGTCAGTATAAAATTCAAATAGTTATCATGGTTTTCATTGCAATCAATAATAAAATATAATAGATTTCTCTATATTTTCTATAATCATCTAAATTCTTTTTTTGGTCGTATTATAGTGTGGTATACATGCCAATATCTTAACAAAATACCTCTGAGAAACAATATCAACAATTTTTACTCCAGTAAAATTGATCTATCATAAATGTATTTAATAGATATACATTAAAAATGCATAAATATGCATTTATGAAATAATATGCAACAATCCTCCAAATATGCAAAATGTGCATAATACAATTTGGTATTTGAATTTGGTCTGGTTATATTATGATATTATGTTGACATTTCAAACTCTCATGGACGTGCATACACTACATGCAAACATGCAAATGCATACAATTCCTGGCTTTAGTCATTATTGCATATTTTGTAATATACTGATATATTATTCTTAATTATAATCATGGATTTAAATTAATTTAACATACAGACTCAGATTTAGCGAATATTTCTTCCACCCAATTGTCGTCAAATTCCCCTGGTGTGGCCATTTTTTTTCTTCTTAAAAACAACTATATTTAATTAAATACTAAGACAACTTTTAACTCCTTTGAACAACTTTAAAATTGAATTAAAGAATTAATACTGAATGATATTGATTTACGATTACATTATTATAATTGAAATAGTTAAATTATTGATCATTGTTTAAAAAGTTTGTAAAATAATGGCTATGCCACTATAACATAGATTTAAACCTCTGTTTATGTTTAAGATACTGTTTTTTTTTTTTTACCATAGATGATATTTTACTAATGAACAGAGCATACAGACACACATTATCAGGGAGAATAAAAGATTTATACAAATTTAAATTTTTTTATTTGGGCCTTTTAAATTATAAGAGTAAAATACTTCAGTTATTACGTTATATTACATAATAATATTAGACCAGGATTTTTTTAACCTTACATAAATAGTGCTATTGACAATCGATTATTATTCTATACTTATAAAGACACGATAAAAAAAATGATGTAACATTTATAATTTAATTCAACTACATTTTCCTAGATGTTTACTGGAAATACTTAAAAAACTTATCCTGTAACATTATACTTCTATACCTATATCGTATTAATTTATTTATAGACTCGTAGGCATTCAACTAAATAATTATAACTAGGTACTCATCATTTGACATAATATTGACGATGGAATATTTTCTAATCTATAATAATAGTTTCCTCGGAGCTAATTAGGTAGGTATCTATAACACCTAGGTCCTATATTGGTATTTGCTATTGAAAATATATCTTTAGTAAAATGATATGTATATGATTAACAGAATACAGGAACATACAGTTTACCTGTTGTTAATAACTTATATGAACCACCAATTTGAGTACACGTAAGTCAATAAAAGGTAATTCTGAGAAAACAGGAATAAACTGTTTTTACGCGGCCAGTAATACATGGTTATTTCTTTCTCATACTGATAATTTGCGGTGTTATTAAATATTTTTTTTTGCAAATGATCTGTCTATCATTCGTTAACACATTCCACTTCCATTCAATATCTCAATTTGTGATATTTTGTGACTCCCGTCATTTCTTAAATAGATGGTTCATATACAAGTTACACTGTTAAAAATATACAAAAATATTTATTTGAAATGTGTATTTACAGTGGTCTTACAATTGAATTATACTGCACCAGTAATGATCAGTGGAGGTCCACTAACTCCAACCTACAGATTTACTCAATTACATTTCCATTGGGGTGTCAATGACTCATTGGGCAGTGAAGACCTCATCAACAACCATAGGTATGTAAATAGTTGAAAATTTAAATACAAGCAAGCAGTGAATATATTAGCAATTTACTTTGTACCCTAAATCACATTGACTATATTGATGTGCTATTAATTTAATTGTAATTGTAATACAATTATGAAGGTTATGTAATTAACAATTATCAACAAAATATTAAGAAATGTACAAACATATTATTTAAAAATTAAAATTAATAATAATTTACATTTTTTTAAAGTGCTTTTTATTTCTAAACGTTGTATTAAATGTAATCTAAATCAAATAAATACAATTAAACATAATTAAATGTTGTAATAAATAATAATTTAATAAAGCATTTGAAAACATTTTTATCCAAAAGACTTTGATGTGTTACAAATTAACTATCGGCACCCCCTGGTTCCATATAAATCGGATTAGCGGTCTACCCACATATTATTTTATTTTGTAATTTATTATTTATTATTAAAACTTAACCAATCTAGAAGTTGGTAAAATATATTGATGTGAAACTTTTATGGAAGACTAAAATACAATATTATAAACAATAATTAAAATAAAACAGAATATATATATTTAAATTATTTGGGCGTCTCACATAATTCAATAGTTGATGCATAAATGTATAATTAAGTATTAAAATATATTATTATTATACTAATAATTAATGTATCAAATTATTTAATACAATTTTCAAATGTTTGTTATTTTGTGGTTTTTATATAGCTACCCGATGGAATTGCACATGGTATTTTCAAACACAGATTACGATGATGAAAAAACAGCCTTAACAAAAAATGACGGATTGGTTGTTTTAGCCATGTTCTTTGAAATAACTCAAGAAGACAATCCTGTATACTCAGAAATCGTCAACACCTTGGGTCAAATAAATATGCCTGATCAATCATCAAATTTACAAGTCGGATTCACTATTAGATCCATGTTACCCGAATCTACCGAACTCTATTTCACATACAAAGGTTCCTTAACCACACCACCTTGCTTGGAAGTCGTTACATGGATAGATTTCAAACATCCAATTCAACTATCTCATAACCAGGTACTATATATATTTAATTACTAAATTAATATTATTGATAAGTAAAGCTTGTAAATCAGACATGTTCAAGTGTTCAACTCAATATACTTATTGGGTCAAATAAATTGAATAATTCAGTATTACTGATTTTATCAATAGCATACCTACAAAAACTATGACTATTTTATTTGTTGTACTGCACACAATTTTAATGCACTTTAAAGATTTGAAGGGGACTGTTGAAGGCCCTGTTGACAGTAGTTAAAATTAGTTAAAATGTTGGTATTTAATTTTTTAAATTTTAAGTCTTAATACTTAGAATTCCATCAATTGTTATGTTGATGTCTAAGTTGAGAGTGAGCCTAATATTGATAAAACCCAAGATCTATAATATAATGTGAATAAACAGAAAAACTTATTGATATCTTCTTAAAAATTGTGATTGAAGATATAAAGAAACAGTTAGGGAATGGCGTCTAGATAAAAACAAATTATAATTTAAATTGGTGGATACTCACTACAAATTATATAAAACATTAAGTCATAGATCATAACATTTGCTCTATTACGCACTTGTAATACATAGACAACACATGTGGGTATCATGTCCTCTTAATAACTATAATAGTTATACGATAAAAGTAAACCAATGTGTAAATTATAATTGGTAGTTATATCCTATCTAAATTCTAAGTATAAAATATTGTTAGAAATTTGTTTCATTCACTTTCAACTACTACACAGTACATGTCTACACCTTTTTTAAGATTATATTATATAATAAGGTATCATAACACATTTTGAATTAATTTATCTTTTTGATTTTTGTAGGTTCAAGCTTTTCGTATGTTGCGTTCAAAACATGGACAACTAACACACAATTCTAGGCCTGTACAAGAGTTGTCGGGGAGACCAGTGTGGTATAATGTAGGTGGCTTTGCGGCTTTGAATACACCAACTACTCAAAAAAATACAGCTGCAACATTTGGTCTTACCATTTCCAAAATGTTCATGTTATTATGTTGCAAACTTGTTACACTAACTCTATTCTGATTCTTCTATTGTATTTAAAACCAACTTCAACCATCAACAGAATTTTTTTAAATTATTATGGTCCATGAAAAGGATATTTACACTATATATTAATCAATATGTATATATATATATATATATATATATATATGTAAAACAAAAATTGTATAACTATATTTATGTGATAGATCTCAACAGTTTATTAGTCTTACACGTTTTGTGTGTTTTACTTCTATTTAACGAAACATTTTTTGTACCTATTTTAGTATTTTACTATTATTTTTCATAAAAATTATGTACCTATTAAGATTTTTTCTTACCTATAATAATTTTACCATTTATTTTTTAAACTAACAATTTTAAATACCTATATTTAATTCTTGTGAGTTATTTGGTCTGAATACTATCATTGAAACATATTCTAAAAATAATTACATCATTACAGAACCATAGCTTTCACATTTAAAAGCAAATGATGCACTTAATTTGCCTTCAATAAAAATTATGGCCATATTTTGTAATTCTGTCAATCACTTTATAATCACTAAATACATTTAGAAAGTAGGTATTTTTAAATAATGGTCTCGCATTATACTATATTTTTGTATGGTTTAATTTAAAGATAATGTAAAATAATGTTCAAGTGATAATATTTCTCAGGAATTTTTTGAATGGGGCTAAACTCTATTTACCCTTAAAGCAATATGGACATATTATTTAAAGAGTTACTTAATTATGTAATTTATTTATATACCTGCATTACAATTTATTATTGTTCTATATTGATTAAAAATTAAGACTAGAACAATATTCATTATATAATATTTTATATAAGTGCATATATTTAATCAGGATTTAATAAATACACAAGACCGATACCTTGTACATTAATACTAAGGTAAAATATAAATTAACAAATCTATGAAAGCAAAAAAGTATTATAAAATAAAAATTACCTCGCCAAGATAGAATTGTAGAGCCAATTAATATTTTATAAGAAATAAACTAGCTTGTAATAAGTTTAAATTATTGATATTTGTATTTATATACCAAGTTAAGGAAATATGTTTTCTATATTATGAATTACAAAAAATGTATTGAACATTTAACATTTTTTAGTGCATAGGTATTATATTAAGATACTGTTATACGAAAAATAATTTTAATTATAATGATAGTTATATCTTAAATTGTATAAGTATTACAATTAATTATTTATTTTTATTTAATGATACATATTGCCATAAATAATAAAAAGTGTAAGTATAATTACAATGATTGTGTAAATATTCGTATGTTTAAAAACTAAATGAATAAATTGTATTGTAATTTATAAATACATGTGATTTAGCTATGTGAAAAAAAATTCAACATTTTTATTTATAATTTCTGTGTTACTATATCCTGACCATGCCTTCCAATACTTGCAAGCTGCAAATAACAACAAATAAGTTATTTTTTGAGTTGTTTCTGTCTTAAAAACACATACCATAAACAAATTATACATTCTGAATAATCTATTTAACTCAGGTACATTTAATATGATGGCAAAGCATTTAGATTCTGATTTCTGAGCAGAACAATTTTTTACAATGATAAAATAAAATAATTGATTCACCCCAGTGATTGAACATTTAAGAATTTGTTTGCTATGAAAGTATAATATTCATTAATGGGTCTTCATCATCATATTTATCATTTAAACAGTTTAAATTTGAAGATTGGTGTAGTATTGTTTATTTTTAAACTAACATTAAGAATTGTATTAAGAAAACCATATAAAACCATATTATTACTATTAGGTAATGAACACCAACAAATATTTATTGAGACAATTTCTATTTAATATTATAGTTCACTTTCATTAAAAAATAACATAAATCTATTAAATATACACACAAATAATTATTTAACTTTGTGTCAACAATAATTAAAATTTTTTTACAAAATTCAAAAATTGATCGTGGCTATAAATAGCTTAAAAAGAGTCAAATTATGTTGATAGTAACTGTAGTTATACAGTGTGACCACTGACAATTATGTTTATTAGGCACCTACCGATTGAAAACAAAAATGATTTATTCAATTAGATAAACACAGTTGTCTTCGTTTTAAAGCATTTGTTGACGTTTGTTCAGTTCCTGAACTGAGGGTGTTAAATAACTGGACTATTCCCATATTTGGGCCCAGTTTATTGCTAGCCGCAACGTACTTAACAGCCGTGAAAGTTTACAATCAAAACCAAATAATATGTTGTTCTACTCTATAACCATGCCTACTAACATTTTATCTAGTATTATCTACCATTTAACTACCGACTTTCACCTTCCCAGGCAACTTATTATACTTACCTACTTAATGCAGGTATTCCTCCCCTACCCCCGACACGTTATGCCTCAAAAATTTACCTTCACACCGTCACTGCAGTACTTGATACACTATACGTACTGTCGATAATCGATGGAATGAAAAAAGTAATTTTAGAAATAAGATTACCTATACGATATTATATTCCCAATTGTCGTAGATCCCCACCTGGCTATACATACAAATGCCTGCTTCAAATGTATACCTATGCAATTACACATAATATGATAAATGATAATGTGAATTCATGTCTTTCCATTCGGAAAAAAACAGAAAAATAAACAATAGCATGCATAGCTTCGCACACCACTTATACAGTTACAGATANGCTAGGGTTTAACCCTAACACCACCTCCCCCCGATTTTTTTTTAAAAATAAGATTTAATTATTTTTTAAATAAAGATTAATTTAATTAACGGTTAAATGCATAAACGTTTCAAATACTACTAGTTATAAAACAACAAAATTACAATAAAATAACTAAAATCGTTATTCTCCGTTAAAATATCATATTTGGTCCGAAATTAAACTTAAAAATGATTATTCGACAAAATCGAGTCTATGTATCTTCAATATTTTTCAAATTACCAAGCTAAAAACTAATTATCAACATCGCATTAAATTTTAAATTATTTATAAATAAAAATTGAGAAAAAACCTTAAAAATCATAAAATTTTACCATGTCAAAAAATTGTCACAAAAATATACCTATGTTACCAGAAATGTTGACTGTTAGAGACTTAGAGTGTTAGAACATGATGATGATTAATAGGAAATTATAACGATTCCCATTTCCCAATAAGGAAAGAAAACGTCATCATTGTCTGATACATGCTATTATTTCCTAACGATATTGAGTACCTAATGATACCATACAAATTACACAGTAAAATTATAAAATAATTAATATGAGTTATGACCATTTGGCATTTCCCATAAGTTAAATAACTATAAAAATATTTTAACTCTTTTTGAGTTATGTATAGCCATGAGGAATTTAAAAGTTTTTTTTTCAGTTATTGTCGACAAACAATTTTTAGTTCTTTCAAAAACTTTGATATTGTAATAGTTACACATGGTTCCAAATAAATTATGAATAGTGTAATTAAAAAAGAAGTTGTGCGTACATCCACAATAGTTGTTTATGGTTGTTCGAAGTTAGAACTTTGACAAAATTCATCAAAATCGTGAAAATGTGCTAATTTTTTTCAGTTTGAAATTCATTAAAAATATTTCTTTTTATAAACAACGCTCAACAGTTGAATAAAAGATCTTTCATAAGTTTTTCTACCTTTAACACCAAATTAACGTTAACCGGAAAGCATCGTTATTTATATTTTTTAGTTTTAAAGTTTTAAAGTTTTAAATTAAAAGTAAGAGAGCGATGCGTGATAACAATGACTAATAAACCACGGACTAAGATAGACTTATTTAATATAAGACTCTATCTTAGTCCGTGTAATAAACTAAGGAAACAATGACAATTGACAATTCCTAGGCAATGCTATCATTTCCTTCCGTTAATAGGAATTTTCATAATTTCAGATTTCCCAGGGATTGTCAAAATGTCCGGTAGGTAACATAGCATATAAATGTCTATTGTTAAGCGGGGAACAACTGAGGAGCGCTTTTGCCTATTACATTTTTTACCACAGATGTATAGAATAATATATATCTGTGTAATTTACATTTAATCATAGACCCAAGGTGGGTATACAATTATACTATAGAGTAAATATTACTCTATGATTTATACATAATATTTATATCCACCTTGCACAGAATATGTATTTAAAAAAAAAAAATAGTCCATATAGATAAGATAATAGAACGCACGGCAATAGATAGTACTATCTATAAACCTTGGATGCAGCCTGCCGGGGCGCGTAATTTTAAATCGTGTCACGGTGGCTCCTCGATATGCCGTTATCATTATTTAAGCCAAATCACATTTCATACCTTTGCGAGATTAGACTGCGATAGTGTGAGACTACAAATACATTGATAAGGCGGACCCTACACGGCAAGTTCTATGACAATTGACAACAGAAATTGAAATATTGAATTTATTCATTTATAATTTATATTTTATACTCATCATCATATAATCAAATGCTATACACGATCGTACTTATTTAATAGTACTTATTTAATTATGGACTTAGCAAAAAAATCACAGGTATTATTATTTAACTTATTATTTATTAGTAACAATTGCATGCTATAACTGCCTGTGTCATTATTCATTAACCATTTAGAATATACAATTTATGTTACTAAATAATGTGTACCTAACCAATGAACAAAATTAATTTACAATTTTGATTTTATGGTTTTTTTATTATCTAGATTATATTCTCAAAAGATTTTAAGTCAGCAAATCACTTAAACAAAACCAGACAAGGTTATAGTTGAACAGTATACCCTAGTTTTATGTATTATTTATGTTTTCTAGTTTTATGTTAGATTATTTATATTGAAATATTAACATATGACTGTAATTTAATTTTAATTTAATATTTATGATTATTTTTAAGTATTAATATTTATTGTCAATACATTTAAAGATTAAAAATGCTTATGACTACCTATGATATAAATGTAGAAAAATATTGGTAATGTAATTTAATGTTTAGACTTAGATACTTATAGTACTGACCATTTAGAATATAAATATACGTATGTCACTAACAAATATATTATGTCTAATAAACAAACTTTATGTGCAATAGAATTGTTTTTTTTTTTAATGTCTTTATAAACTTTTATAACTTTTCTACACCTATAGTTAAAATATCTTAGTTGTTTTTTTAATCAAGAAAACAAAAAATAAACTATTAATTAATATCTTGGAAAATATATTAATTTTACAAGTAGCTATGATATTATTTTATAAATTTTAGTATGTTATAATTTGTGAAAAGGTCGAATGTCTTTGTTAAGATTTGGATATTGTAGAAAAGATAATTAATATTTTTATTCATGTTCTGAATGATGATTAAAGACATTATTATAATAATTGAAATATTGGTAAAAGGTAAATCTTATTTTTTACTTCCATTGTTTAGTTGTTTGTTTGTAAAGAGTGTGATGCCAGTTTTAAGTATAGCTATACTCTGTCAAGGCATAGAAAAAATAAGCATCAAATTGCAGTTAAGCCACCTATTTCTGTACCCAAATGTATTGAATCTTTTGAAAAACAAGACTGTTGTTTGAATGTCAAAAAAAAGAACTTGAATCGACATTTAAGAGCAGTTCATGGATTTACAGAAACTCAGATTTCTAATATGAGTCTTAATCTAAAATCAAATATTTTATTACACCCCAAGGTAAATGTGGTGGTATTCATTTTAATAAGAAAAATAGTAAAATTAAAAATAATTTAAATTTTAGCCTTCAGCAAACTTAAAACCTTCTGAACCTAAAAAAGCAATGGTATATACAAGCAGTAATATTGCATTAATGGTAATATAAAACATCAATAATATTATTATAACAATAAATATTGTTATAGTATACATACATGTAGTAACTA